GGCCCTGTGCTGTGGCTGCAGGGGTTGGGGTGGGGGGCTTACCCTTTTGTCCATGGAGTTTCTCAGTGAAGGGAGGGAGCAGCTGATGGTTTCTTGCCTGGGAGAGGGTCAGCCCTTTAGCCCACACCTAGTAGGGACCCTTCCTGAAGACCCCCTCAGCCAACTTATACTCTCCTGGAGAGACCTTGCTAAGAAAGCAAGGCAAGCTGAACTCAGCTTTACCTTATAGTAGTTTAGATTTCATAGCTGATACACAGATTAGTGGAATTGTCTCCAAACATGTTCAAAATTAGACTTTTGACTCTACTTCAATCCCCCATTCCTCCTTCAGGGTTCCCACTCCCGTAGCTGGCCCCTGCAACAGCGTGGGCTCTTGGGATCCAGGAGTATCCTTGCCTCCTTTCTTCCCATGTCCAAATCCTCATCCAGGCCTGTTGCGAGTGTGTCGGGCATCTGTTGGCTCTTCCTTTTCCACTTCTGCAGCCAAGGAGTCCCTGCCAGGTGCCCCTTCTCTTTCCAGTTCACTGTCTCTATTTAGCAGCCCAAACTCACATTTGAGCAGATAGATCATCACTGCTTGGAAACCATCAGGCAGAATCGAAGCTGAAATCTTCCCATGGCCTGTGAGGTTCTGCAAGACCTGATGCTATCCCTATCACCCCAACTACCTTTGGATCCTCCAATAAGCTGGGCCCTGGCATGTGCTGCCTGTTCTGTTGGGGACTCAGGCCTCCTTCCCCCCACTCCTTCACCTGTGTCTCCTTCACCTTGTCTTCTGAGCAGGTTCTCAGTTTCTCAGAGCTTTCCCTGTGGGCCCTTCCTTGCATTCCTTTCCTCACTCTAAATTAGAAGCCCCCTTTATTCTCTCAGCTGTACTCCAACCCCTATACTTTTCTTTCAAAGTATGTAGATTTTCTAAGCACACTTTTTTTTTGGGGGGGGGGTGTATTTATCCATCTTCTGGGTGGAGCAACAGTTAAGTGCTTAGCTGCTAACTGAATGGTTGGTGGTTCAGACCCATCCAGTGACCCTGTGGAAGACCTGGTGATCTGCTCCTGTAAAGATTACAGCCTCCCTCACCGCTCACCAACCCCCCCCCCCCCCCACCAAATAATCCTATGGGCCTAAAACACAATCTGTCATATGCGGTTGCTTTGAGTCAAAATCGACTCCATGACACCTAAACCAACACCCACCATCTCCTCTGGAACATAAACCGTAAGGAAGACAGAAAGAAGTCTCTCTTGTCATGAATCCTAACATGTAGTAGGGACTTGGTAAATAATTTCCATGAATGAATTTTAATTAGAAATGGTTTCAAATAACTCACTGCCCTCGAGTCAGATCTGACTCATAGCCACCACTCCTTGGGTTTCCAAGGTGGTGTCACTACAGAAGTAGATCGCCCAGTCTTCCTTCTGAGGAAGGAAGGTTCAAACCCACCAGCCTTCTGGTTAGCAGTCAAATTCCTTAGGCACTACACCACCAGAGCTCCCAAAATAAAGGTAAGCTAAAAAATAAAAGTAAAGTAAAGGTAGATTAAGTGCTGGCATGACTTAAGTTGGCTATTCTAGTCCATGGTATTTTATTGTAAATTTGACTGAAAATGTATTAACCCAATCTCTACCAAGAGTCCTCAAACTCTGTACTGTTGACACTTTGGTCTGGAACATTCTTGGTTGTGGACCTGTGCAGTACGCTGTAGGATGTTTTGTGGTGTCTCTGGCTCCACCCACCAGATGCCAATAGCCCACCTGAGCTGTGATAAGCAAAATGTCTTCAGGCATTAAAGTTACCCCTACTTGAGACTCCACTGGTCTACCCCTGGAGTGACCCAGTTCACAGCTATAGGAGTTGGTCAGAGGTGCAGGGGTCTTCTCCTAGTGCCTGTTGCTTGTGTGGGAATTTCCTGGCAAGAATTCAACACAGGAAGAACCATGATGCTACAGCTCTTGGTAAACAATATCATGTAAGGGAAGTCCTTAGGTGGTGTGAATAGTTAACATGTTTGGCGCCTAGCTAAAAGGTTGGAGGTTTGAGTCTACCCAGAGGCACCTTTTAAGAAAGGCACCTGGTGATCTTCTTCAGAAAAAATTAGCCATTGAAAACCCCATTGTTCTGGTTTCTAGTGCCGCTTTGACAGGAATATACCACAAATGGGATGGCCTTAAAACAGGACTTTATTCTTACAATTTGGAGGCTTTAAGTCCAAGTTCAAAGTGCCAGGCTCTTTGAAGTTTCTTTCAAAGGAGTTGGGTGAAGGCCTCTCAACCGTGGGCCTCAGTTCTGCCTCCTGCTCCCTGTTCACTGAAGCTAGAGGCTTTTCTTCACTCAGACAGCTGCTGGCTGCTGAGACTGACAAGCACAAGGTTAATAAGTATAAAGGCACAGTCTCAATGTTACCAAACCACTTTGCAGGCCATTAATTCAAGTCCATTGAAAGTCCCAGGATTGGAAGAGCGTGGCAGGCTGCTGAACAATGACATGGCTACATGAAGGGTTCAAGTGTGTCATAAGCTAGAGATGGTTCCCCAAGGCTTCTCCTTACATACGGGAAGCAGACCACATCCCAAAGGCAGCTAGCTACTCAGCTGCTCACAGTAGATTCCACCATGGAGTTGATTACCAGTCTCATCATGGGGAATACTACATCCAGCTGCCCAGCCACTCACCCAGGCCCAGCCAAGTTGACACACAAACTTAACTACCACACTTGTGGACCACAATTCTACTCTGATGCACATGGTGGTGCTGTGAGTTGGCATTGATTGGATGGCAGGTGTTAACCAAGCAAGGGGGCTCATCCTTGCCTCTTGTCCCCCTTCCATAGGACATTCTTCATAACTTTAAGGGTAACCTGGTATTATGCGCTAGTCTCAAGGGGAGGTCAGACCAATAGGAAATGATCACACTTTGGCGGCACAGTTTCAGATTCTCCAGCAGGGTACGAAACCAAAGAAACCAAACTCACTGCTACTGAGTCAATTTTGACTCATAGCAACCCCTTCTTGGGTTTCTGAGGCAGTATCACTATGGAAGTAGATTGCCCAGTCTTCCTTGCAAGGAGTGGCTGGTGGGTTTGAACCACCAGCCTTCTGGTTAGCAGTCAAATGCCTTAGGTACTACACCACCAAAGCTCCCCTCCAGCAGAGGAAGAAGTTGGAATAGATGTCCACTGAGTGCTTTCCTAATGGTTTGCTGCAAGGTTAGCACTGGGAAAACATTTGCCACAAAAAGCCAAAGATGTCTGAATTATGGGAGGTGTCCTGGTGGGAACCAAGCTGTGTCTTGGTTTGTGGACAGGCTTGTTGCTAGACCCTGCATTCTGAGCGAATCACCTGGAGGCTGCCTTGCCTGCTGCCTGCCCAGCATGTGTAACCCTGGCTCTAATAGGTCAGTGTTTCTCCAAGTGAAGTTCTGTAAGTTTCCGTCAGAGGAGCTTATTAGGAAGCAGATTCCCAGCACCAACCCAGAACAACAGAATCTTTCTCCAGCAGTGGGGCCTGGAGATCTGCATTTCTGCAAGCTCCTCTAGTGATTTCTACTGTGTTTGGAAGCTGCAGACCTCGTTTGTACATGTCCAAAACATGCTCTCATGGAATTTAGCTTTCTTCCTGAGAACACTGTGAGACTTCTGAGCCATAATGCTAATATAGACCATTGCCCTGGGATTTTAATCTGCATAGGAGCTCTGGTAGCATAGCACCTAAGACACTTGACTGCTAACCAGAAGGCTGGCGGTTCAAACCCACCAGCCACTCCTTGGGAGGAAGATGGGGCAATCTACTTCCGTAGTGTTCTGCCTCAGAAACCCAAGGAGGGGTCACTATGAGTTGGGTCCGACTTGAGGGCACACAACAACAGAAACAACACATAGACACAGGTTGCAATAGAGAAGAGATCTGAGACCAGGGGTTGGAAAACTTTTTCTGTGAAGGGCCAGAAGTTAAATATTTCACTCTACCACAACTTCTTAACTCTATTGTGGTAGTATAAAACAGACATAGACAATATATAAATGAATAGGGGGGGCTGTGTTCTAATAAAACTTTATTTACAGAAACAGGTGGCAGGCTGAACTTGGCCCTATGACTGTAGTTTGCAGCCTCCTCCTCTAAACACAATGCAATGCACTGCCATAGAGTCTGATCCAACTCACAGCGACCCCTCTTTGGGTTTCTGAGGTGGTATCACTACAGAGGGAGCTCTGGTGGTGCAGTGCTTAATGCATTTGACTGCTAACCAGAAGGCTGGCAGTTCAAACCCACCAGCCACTTCTTGGAAGGAAGGCTGGGCAATCTACTTCCCACAGAGATACTGTCTTAGAAACCCAAGGAAGGGGTTGCTATGAGTCGTATCTGACTCGATGGCAGTGAATTGGTTTTTTGGTTTATCATTACAGAAATACATTGCCCAACCTTCCTTCCGAGGAGTGGCTGGTGGGTTTGAATCGCCAGCCTTCTGGTTAGCAGTCAAATGCTTTAGGCACTACACCACCAGAGCCTCCTGCTTTAGACTCATGTTATTCCATTAATTTAAGTGTTAAGTTGAATTCAGGAATAATTGGTCTGGCCCAAGTGTTGGGTTTAAACAAAGAAGGGGAGTTGGGTTCCTAGAATAATTAGTTATAACTTTTAGATGGAACCTTATCCTGAGAGAAGGAATTGTCAGCATTGACCTCCTGACTCTGCAACCCCAAGTGTTTGCCTTGGCTCCATGATATTTGTAGTGTTCAGATAATTAAAATAATTAGAATTTCTCTCCTCATTGGCAATGACCTCATGATGCATAAGGTGTGTTTAAATAGCCTTAGGATGGCAGATGTTGGGAAGACCTAGAATTTGATTATGGACATTAAAGTGAGCTCTTTGTGCACACATATATGCATATACATTCTTGTTGTTTTCTCAGCTGTTTAGAGCTGGTTTTCTCTTGGCTGGAGTGCTTCATTCTGTGGGGGGTGACCATTGCTCTCACTTCATATCTTTGAACTTTTTTAGGGAGCGCATGGAACTCTTGGAAGAAGCCAAGAAGATGGAAATGGCCAAGTTTCGTTATATATTGCCTGTGTATGGTATATGCCGAGAACCTGTTGGCCTTGTCATGGAGTACATGGAGACAGGCTCACTGGAAAAATTGCTGGCCTCGGAGCCACTGCCATGGGAGCTGCGCTTTCGCATCACCCACGAGACCGCGGTGGGCATGAACTTCCTGCACTGCATGTCCCCACCTCTCCTCCACCTGGACCTCAAGCCCGCCAACATCCTGCTGGATGCCCACTACCACGTCAAGGTAGGGGCTTGCCCAGGCTGGGCAGAGGCAAGTGGCCAAATGGGGCTCAGAGTGCTGGATTCTTTCAGAAGGCAGGGCTGACCCATCTCTAGGGTAATGCTGTTGAGAAATGGAACCTTAAAATCTGTTAAACCAGTTGCCATCAAGTCAGCTCTAACTCATGGCAACTTACTGTGTGTCAGAGTAGAACTTCGCTCAGTATGTTTCCAGTGGCTGATTTTCTGGAAGTGTATTGTCAGGCCTTTCTTCCAAGATACCTCTGGAGGTATCCCACATTTCTTGGGATACATGGGGCCATGTGCTGGGCCACACTGTTGTGTGTTGCATCACCCCTTTCTTCTCCACTCAGTGAATGGAAAAGACACAAGCAGGATGACCTAGAAGCCTCCCCAGTTTATTTAGGGGACCAGAGAGAGGAGTTCGTTGGGGTGCTCCGATTGCTTTATTCTTGCTGGTTCCAAAGTGTTTGTGGGACATCTCTGATGGCCTGAGAGCCAGGGATATTGGTATAGGGTCCAGCCTTGCCCTTCCTTCTGTTTGGGCCTCAGTTTTCTCTCCTGTGAAACGAGGGTGGGGCTAGAAGAGAGATTGCATGTGGGCTGTGCACACTGCCTCCTGCACTCGCAGACCATGGTCCCTCACTGTGCTTTTCTTCTGAGTGGTGGAGAACAGTGAGCAAGTCCATTTTCATTTTGAGCCATAAGTACAAGTGGCCCCTAAGTTAGTTATTTCTCAATAATAAGTTATTGACTAGAAGATAAAAGTTGTTGTTGGCTGCTCTTGACTCAGCCCTGACTCATGGTGACCCCATGCATGGTGGAACAAAGTGCTGCCCAGTCCTGCACCACCGCAATGATTGGTTGTAGTCAGTATTATGATCCATAATTTTCATTGGCTGATTTTCAGAAGTCAATCATCTTAGTCTAGAAGCTCTACTGAAACCTGTTTAGCATCGTAGCAACACACAAACCTCCGTTGACAGTTGGGTGGTGGCTGGACACGTGATGCATTGGCTGGGAGTCAAACCTGCCTCTTCCATATGGAAGGCAAGGATTTGACCCAGTATTGAACCACCAATGCCTTATACCCGCTGCTGTCAAGTTGATTCTGACTGGTAGTGACACTACAGGACAGAATAGAACTGCACCAAAGGGTTTCCAAGGTTATAAATCTTTATGGAAGCAGACTGCCTCATCTTTTTCCCATGGAGCAGCTGGTGGATTTGAACTGCTGACCTTTTGGTTAGCAGCCCAATACTTTAACCACAGTGCCACCAGAGTGCCTTTCAGTGCCTTCTAGTAGATACTTAATAATTGCTCACTAAGGAAATGAGTGCTGTTCTTGTCTGCGAAACTAGCGGCTTGCTTTCCTTGTAGGTAAATCCACTGTTAGTGCTTGAAATCTTTTTGTTTGAATAGCTTCTTTTCCTCTCTCCTTATAGACATCTGAGTTTGCAGACCTGCTGGCTTTATGGCAGTTTTAATTTGTGGGTGAAGATTCCAGAAAGGACAAAAGAATGCCTTCATAAATAGCATGTCTGGCTCAGAGGAAAGTGGGATACAGGCTGCATGGGAACCATTGTCCTGACAAAGCATTTCACAGGAAGTGGAAGTGGCACCAAATCCCCTCCTCCTTGAGAGCCTCATCCTGAAAGGGCTGAAGGGTGGGTGTTTTGGGTGACTGACTCTCTTCTTAATCAGCCATGTTAGTCACCATCACAGAAGCCCCAAAACAAACAGAAAATGTATTTATGTAACATGTTTCTTTTATTCTTAGAAATAGCTATGTGGGTGTATACAGGGCAGTGGGAGTGCAAGTTTGAGGTTCTGAGTGTCAGCTCTTTGTTCCTGGAGACATAGCTTGAAAGCTTTGCATTTATCTGCCATTGGGCAGTATTCAGTGGCCATTATTTGCAACAATTATACTTTAATGTGCAATCTTGAAATAAGGTCATAGGTTGCCATTCCAACTCCCAGTCATGTGCCCCTCCTATACTTCCCTTTTGTATAGCCAGTGGATTCCCTGGGTGGTATAAATGGTAATGAGCTAATCTTTGAAAGATTGGAGGCAGAGGTTGCTTGGAAGAAAAGCCTGGTGATCTGCTTCCTAAAAATCAGCCCTTGGAAACTCTGTGGAGTACAGTTCTACTCTGACCCACATGGGATTGCCATGAGTGGAATCAACTTGACTACAATGGGTATTGATACTATTAGAGAGAATTGACTTTTGCAGCAGTCATCTACTTTGCAAAGTTTGAAGTGTTTGTGTAATCAGTAGTAAAAATGTGTAAACACACTTCAAGTTAAAATGATTTGTTTTGGAATTGCAGGCTGTCCTTATGTAACCAATTTGTACAGAATAGACTATATTCAGAAGAATAGAATACATCAGGGGAATGTTCCACTGTCTTTTAAAAGTCACCTCTCTCTGTAAAGCAGCACAGCCCAAACCATCCTCTTTATTGGTTTTATCTAGCTTGACTCAGAAGTCAAGGGGCCCACATACTTGGGGACACAATTGAGTGTGTTATGCTCTTGGTCAAATTGAGTCAAATGTTGTATATGAAAGTGTATCTGTGAATTATAAGATATTTGCTGTTGACAGTGATTATCCAAGCAGGGAGGAAGGCAAGCCGGCACGGGGTAGGTCAAATGAGAAATGTTAAAGGCCCCTGGGTGGCATGAACAATTTACATTCAACTGCTAACCTAAAGGTTGGCGGTTCAAACCCATCCAGCAGCACCATGGAAGAAAGATCTGATGTTCTGCTTCTGTAAAGAAGAAGAAAGCTCAGAGGAGCTCAATTCTCTATAATATACAGGGTCACAGTGAGTGAGAATCGACTGGATGGTGGTGGGAAGGGCGTCTCATCTGTGGATGGAGGAGAAGGGACCCAGGAGAGGCTGGCTACCATCAGGGAATTCTGAATTTGGAGTTTACATTTTGATGCTGCAGATTTTATACAGAATTTATGCTTAATTTATTTTTACCAATTACATTTTGAAGTGGCCAGAAAGATCTGAAAATGACAGAAATAGAAAGGCCACAAATGAGGGGGAAGCTCTGAGTACAAAGATTCCTATATCTCAGTCCAACATCATTTCTGAATTTAAATTTTTAAGCTGTTTATTGATAGATAGATAGATGTATATATGTATATGTAGCTCTGGTGGCATAGCACTTGGGCATTTGACTGCTAACCAGAAGGTTGGCAGTTTGAGCTCACCAGCTGGTTCAAGCCCCCATCCGTTCTGCAGAAGGAAGACAATCTATTTCCATAAAGATTTACTGCCTTGGAAACCAAATGGGGGTTGCTATGAGTTAGAATCAACTTGATGGCAGTGAGTTTGGTTTTATTGGTTTTATGTGTGTGTGTGTGTGTGTGTGTGTGTATATATATATATATATATATATATATACACATATTATATATATTATATATATATACTATATATATATTATATATATAATATGTATGTATATATGCAAAGATATATAATTTATTAAAGTTTCATATAAACTTCTAAGTGCTAAAAATGTTATTACATTAATAAATCACCAGCAATTTAGACTTCGACATTTTGGGACAGTGGACAAAGTTGGTGGCTCTGTAGTGTTTATTGTGACTTAAAAAGCTGGGCTTCAAAACTTATTCTCTAAGATATAAAATATTATCCTCAGGTAAGTTTAGAAAAAACACCCAAATACCTCTATAGCTTTTAACAACTCCAAGGAAATGGCTATTTATTCTTTTTTAACTGAAATATTCCCATTGGTAAATTTGTTTTGAGAATTATAATGCATTATTTCCCAGTTCCAGCTGCTTTGCAGATTTGTGGGTTCTCAGGGATGGTTTTATTTTAGGCAGATTAACAGTTTCCTTACGAGAGTGGGGAGAGGGGAGGGTTCTTTCAAGCACTGCCGAGGCTTGAATGCCATGGAACTCAGAGATGGTATCTTGCCCTCATGTGCCAGGGCCCACAACACTCTCCCCTCCAACCCCACCTGCAGAAATGTAAAACAAGGCCCTGTTTCACTGGCTTCTTTCCCATCTCCTCTCCACAGATGTGGCCAGGGACATATTGAAGGGACCAAGTCACTGGTTATAAACCCTGTAGTTCAGCTGGTGGTGACACCAGACCCATTGCCTCATCTGGGCCCGTTGGCTCACCTGGGCACAGCCAGCATGGATTCCCCATATGCCTTACTCAGCCCTGTTTCTTATGAATAGATATGCTTGAGAAGGAGTCCAGGAGTTAATTAAAAGGCTTTAAAATGTCCCTTAGCCTTGAAGGAGAGCAAAAAGGGGCCATTTTCCAAGTGAGTCCTGGTTCCCATTAATGTTAATGAGTTGTGGCTTAATCCCACACACAGCGTTCAGCGATTTCAAAGGTGTCTGGTTTACACAGCAGAGGGGAAAGCTAGGGGCAAAGCTGGCACTCCACCAGGGGCTGCCAGGAGGGCCAAGGGTGCAAAATCTATACCTTGCCCCAGTGGTGGGCTTAAGTGAGCTTTGAGGACACCTTAGATTCCTTGTCACTGAAAGGGAGAGCTGCAGATCAGGAAGTCCTTATGTCTAGGTGTCCTTCTGAGTGGGCAGCACTATGGACTGAGAAGGTGTTTTCAGATCTTTCATTCGAACACCCTGTGTTGGTTGAAGAGCCTGTAGTTGTCCATTGATGTAGTATCCAGGATGGAGAACAGAAGGCCCAGCGAAGCTGTGTGATTTGGGTTTTGATTGCTTTAAAGGGCTCTAAAGGCGTGCTTCCCTTTAAAAAAAAAAAACTTGCTACCACTTGCCCGCCTTCCCTGCACCCAGTTGCATAACCAGATCTCCTGGCATGCAGACAAGTTCTTCACATGTCTGCTCTGGGCTGACATGGTCTGCAGCCTGCTTTTCCTAACCCTACCTAGACTGTTGTTCCTGGGTGGCTCAAACCGTTTATGCTTGACCACTAACCTCCAGATTGGTGGTTCAAAGCTACCCAGTGGGGTTATGGAAAAAGGCCTGACGATCTGCTTCCATAAAGGTTACAGACAGCCACTGACCATATACTGTATGATTCCATTAATATGAACTGTACAAAATAGACAGATCCCACAGAGAGAAGAGATTAATGGTTGCAGGGGTGGTGGTACAGGAGAATGAGGAGACTGCTAATTGGGCACAGGATGTGTTTTTGGGGAATAGAAAATATTCTAAAATTAGATTGCAGTGATAGTTGTACAACACTTATGGATATACTAAAAACCAGAGTTGTACTCTTTAGGTGAATTTAATCATATGTGAATTATATTTCCATTAAAAGAAAACCCCAAACCCACTGCCATCAAGTTGATTCCTACTCATAGTGACCCTATAAAACAGAGTAGAACTGCCCCTTTAGGGTTTCCAAGGCTGTAAATCTTTATGGAAGCAGACTGCCTCATCTTTCTCCCACGGAGCAGCTGATGGGTTCAAATTGCCTACCTTTTGGCTAGTGGCCAAATGCCTTCACCACTGCACCATGAGAGCCCCTTATTAAAAGAAAGAAGGGGATAACAATTTGAAAAGACTAAAAAAGATTACAGCTATAGAAAACTATGGGACATATCAGTTTTACTTTGTAGTGCATGGGGCACCAAGAGTCAGGATCAACTTGATGGCAACAGGTATTTTATTTTTGTTTTCACCCAGGCTGTTAGCTATCATGGCAGCTATAATGCCTTCTGGGAGTAAGGAGTAATTTTTCTTGACTTCCTTCTCCCAGTGAATTCCTTCCTTAGAGCATAATTTTTCCCCCCATCAATCAAATGTGTTACTCCAATGATTTAGGCTTCGCTACACCTAAGCTTCTCCTGTCTGCCTGGGGACAGGACTGCAGTGACAGTTCTAGGCCTTGGTCTGTCAGGACCCCTGGGAAGCTCCCCAGGAATGGCCTTCCTTGGTGCTGCCTCAGTGCTGGTTTGTGAGTGGAGCCCAAGGGCTGAGGTGGCCCTGCAGAGGGGAGATGTTCTGAAGCTTTGTTGAGAAATGTAGTGAAAAGTCAGGAGTCTCTAGGTGGCACAGATGGTTAAGTGAAAAGTTGAAGGTTTGAGTCCACCCAGAGGAGCCTTGGAGGAAAGCGTTGGCAACCTGCTTCCCAAAAAAGTCAGCCATTGAAAACCTGGTAGAACCCACATACACGGGATTGCTGTGAGTTGGCATCAACATAATGGCAACTGATTAGCCAAATGTCAGTCAACCCCAGCTCATTTTATGGCAGCAGACAAAGGGTAACATTCTGTTTCTGCTACTTGTTTGCAGATTTCTGACTTTGGGCTTGCCAAGTGCAATGGGCTGTCCCACTCACATGACCTCAGCATGGATGGGCTGTTTGGCACCATTGCGTACCTCCCTCCAGAGCGCATCCGTGAGAAGAGCCGACTCTTTGACACCAAGCATGATGTATACAGGTGGGTGAGAATTCTGCCTTCTGTCCCCCATCCTAGGCAAACTGGGAGTTCAATTGCTCACACTCTGGACAGCACATCTGGACTTGCTCTCTGTGCCTGTCAAGGATAGGGTTCGGTCCAGATGAAGGGATATGAACTTGTTGGGTTTGGGATGTTCTTAGCTGGAGGGTACAGGCTACTCCAGGGATATAAGGGACATCTCTCTCCTGGGAGTGCTGTCTGGCTCAGAGGGTGGAGGGTGCATGCCAGTGATGGGAGTGCCCCCATCAAGGCCAGTTATTTAACCGGACTGACCAGCTCCCACAGTGTCAAAGCTTTGATGTTTTTATGAAATGTGGATTTTATTGCTTGTCTATTGGAAAGATCTGGTGCTTTAAGTGCCTGTGTGTGCATGTGTGCACGCACACGTCTCCTGAGGGTGGATTCGTGTGGATTTGGCCAGTCTTCCTAGGCCGAGCAGCTCACCTTCATAGCTTTCTTACTTACTCTTGGCATGGGAGTGTAGACACCTTAAAGGCTGTCCAAAATCTAAAGTCAGTGGGAATTATGTACCTAAAGAATAATCCCCAAGTCATTTGCTCCCATTCTTTTGCAAATTATAAAGGTCTTAATCACTTAGACTTTTTGGAGAAGAAAAGAGGGAGGAGAGAGCAAGCTTGCACTTAAGCCCTCATTGTGGTTCTCCTCTTACCCATTGAGACTCTGACCCTAAGCCCTGAGTCACTTGGGCTTCTGCCTAGTTGTCATTGCCATCTGCCCGAGTCCCAGCCAACTGGTTTGGCAGTCACCATTGTCCAGGTGCTAAGCTGAGTGTCTGCCAGAGAAGGGCACTATGGGGACTAGCCCTGGCTTGTAGAGTTTGGGGAAAATAAAGGGAGTCTCTCATTTATTTTAGAGTTGAGACTTAAACTTTTGAACTTATGAGTTTGTGTTTTAAAAGGAGAATTCTTGCTTCTCACAAACAGTTACTCTTGAATAGTCTGTACGCAGTGGCTTGATTTTTGGACCCTGGGTTATCAGGTTTTCTTAGTTATCAATTAAGCTCTTGTTTTGGTCTACCTAGAACTCAAAAGTCACTGTCTACAAGTCAATTCCGACACATAGCAACCCTTATTGGGTTTCCAAGGCTGTAAATCTTTACAGAAGCAGATTGCCCCATCTTTCTTCATGGAGCTGGTGGGTTTGAACTACTGAAATCCTGGTTAGCAGTCAAATGTTTTAACCACTATACCACCAGAATTCCTTGGTCTACCCAGAGTAGTTATTAAATATATGTACTCTCTAATAGCCATGATAGGACTCTGGTGCATTCAGCTGGTTTCCTGCCTAATGTTTCCTGTGAATTTCCTTTATCACCCCTCAGATGAAATCTCAGTAAGCAAGTCTCTCACAGAGCTGAGAGCTGCAGCCGGGTGCCTTGTGATCTGTGTCTTTAGGAAATCAAGTTGTAACAGAGGGGAGAAAGGGATATGAATTGCCCATCATTCATCCATCCATTTATTCAGCAAATGTTTGAGTACCTAACATGTGCTCAGTGCTTACAAGAATGTGGTGGGGGAAATGGAGCAGATGTTGGCCATGCTTCTAAGAACCTGGGGTTCTGTCACAGATTGGAATCCCCTTTGGAATCCTTCAGCCTACACAGAGACTTGCAGCTTGTTTGGCAAGGCTACGTCTGCTATAGCAACATGGCGTGTTCTGTGAGAAGAGCTTTTTCCTTTTAAAAAATTCATGAGAAATATCTTGGTGCCATCTCTCTATTTAAAACCTTTGGGGTAGTTTTCTCCCTGCTCACTGCTGTGTGTGAGAGCTTTGTTCTCTGTTTGGGGATCTGGGACACTCAACATGCCTGGTTTTTCTTCCAGCTTTGCCATCGTCCTCTGGGGGGTGCTTACACAGAAGAAACCATTTGCAGGTAAGTGTATTTCTCTCAAAGTGCATTTGTTTCTCTGGAACTAATGGGACCATTGGCAGTGCCTGTGCTCCATCCTGTGCACACCTGCCGTGTGTGCTGCCCTGTTCTTGAGGCTAGCTCAGCCACCCTGGGGCTGGGCTATTTCACGCTGCCTGGCAGTCTGCAGGGAGACCACCCCCTGCAACCAAAACGTTCCTGTGGTATAATATACCTATAGGAAAGGGCGCAGATCTGAAGGGTTTTCTTTATTTTGATAAATGTATACACCAGGTCACCACCACCCAACTGGAAATCTCTAATAATTCCTTCCTCCTCTTCCAGGCAACCACTATTCTAATTCTGTTACCATAGAGTAGTTTTCCTTTAGCAATTTAGTACTTTGACTTAGTTCATTGTAAAAGTTGAGTATCTTTTTAGCTTCATTGGAGAAAGATGACCTTTTCTTCTATAAGCATTTCTGGACTCAAGCTTCATGTTCCCCACAGCGTGCCTCCCCCTAACCCCACCCTGTTCCCAACACGCCCCATGGGAAGGGATTTCTTGGGGAGGCAGGCAGATGCTATCAGAAGGTGTGGAAAATTGGCCCAAAGTTACCAACAGCTGCCAGATCCTACACTGATGTTTTGTTCCACTTCCCATTAAATCTTGTGCAATCACAATTGTAGTATTTTTCACACACACACACACACACACGCACACACTGCTGTGGAGTCGGATCCAACTCATAGTGACCCCTCCTTGGATTTTCTAGGTGGTATCACTATGAAAGTAGATTGCCCAACCTTCCTTCCGAGGAGTGGCTGGTAGGTGTGAACCACCAGCCTTCAGGTTAGCAGTCAGGTGCCTTAGGCACTACGCTACCAGGGCTCCCATAGTAATTTTAAGTGTGACCAAAGGTATCTGAAAGTACAGATCAGAGTGAATATGTGGCCCATAGGTCTGGGGAGTGAGCTTGCTGGTTGTCAACCACATACTGTTGTTGTTGCTCATTGTTGTCAAGTGGGCTCCAACTTATGGTGTTCTTATGTATAGCAGAAAGAAATGTTGCCTGTTCCTATACTTTCTTCATGACTATTGGTATAGTCATAGACTAGGAATCTATTTAAAGTTAGTCCTGGGCAGAAAGAGAAGTGCAGAGTATCTCATAACTTAGCATATCTTGGGATTTTCTTTACTGCAGTGGAAAGAATGAGATATTCTAATGCCCCTTTTTCTAACAAGGCTGTTTCTGCATTGTCTTACCACTTGCTATCCTTTCTTCCCTCCCCTGAGGCCTATGATCTGATTTTTTTTTTTTTAACTTGGCAGCATGCCACTCTGAGATAACAGTTATCTGATAGAAGTGACATGTGAAGCCAGGTATGTAGTGTAAAAAGTCGAGAGTGAGGACCTCACATTTTACTGCTTAGTAGATAATGGAGTTAAAGGTGCAGAAGTCAAAGGTGTCTCATGAGATTTTTCAGAGCAGGTCATGTTGAGCAGCAGAGAATATTCCACGTGTCTAGTTTCATTTCTTCTAGAGGACCTGTTGCGTTTTGGAAGACTCAGGCAAAAATGTGTAGATACTTAAAATTGCAGTTGCACAAGATTTAACGGGAAGGTAGAACAAAACTTCAGTGTAGGATTTGTCAGCTCTTGGTGACTTTGGACCAATTTTCTATACCTGCTGATACATGTCGACTTGTCTCTCCAAAGAGTTCCCTTCCCATGGGGAGTTGGGCTTGATGGACAGCGTGGTTTGAGGTTGAGCAGAGAAAACTGGCCCAGTGAGGGTCCCCCTGAGCCTATCCCAGTTGAAGTAGAACCTCATCCTCTGTCCCTCAGTAATAAAGCCAGTGTGGGTCCTACCCACTCACTGATTAAGGTTAGCATCTTGGGGCTGGCTCACTGGACGCTAGTGGGGGCCTGTGATTTGCAATAGGCATTGGAATTCAGGAAGATTTTTTTTACCATTTTAGGGAGACTTGGGTCTGTAGGGTGTTGGACACAGCAGACACTGTGATTTATGTGTTTGACTTCCTCGGGCAGGCATGGGCCACTTGGGAACATGCCTTGTCAGATATTTTCCTCCTTTGAAGCTGCTTTCTCTTTGAGTTAGAGGCCCAGGAAGATCAACTCTGTGATATAGCACCCTGATTCCATTTGGTAAATCATAGCCCTTGAAAAATAGTATAAGAACATGTGTGCCCAGTAAGAGCAAGGGCTAAAGAGGGCTGTGTGCCTTGTGAAGTTAAACATGGTTTCCCAGGTGACGAGCCTCTGGACAGCAGGTGACGGCACTGGTGTGCCCCTAGGTGCTTTCCCACGGTCCCTGCTTCCTCCTGCAGATAAGCACCCCGTCCCCCAGCTCCCAGAGCTGTTGTGACTTGTGCGCCTCTCCTTTGCAGATGAGAAGAACATCCTGCACATCATGGTGAAGGTGGTGAAGGGTCACCGCCCTGAGCTGCCACCAGTCTGCAGACCCCGACCCCGGGCCTGCAGCAACTTGATCCGCCTCATGCAGCGGTGCTGGCAGGATGACCCACGCGCACGGCCCACCTTCCAAGGTGAGTGGACACTACCAGCTAGCCTCCTGCCTGCACTTGAAGAGGACCCCATTATCAGGCTTCCCACACAGTGTTGTTGCTTTGCTAGCATTGTGGAAGAAAGAGTTTCTGCCATGAGGTTAGGGTCAGAGGACAGCAGCAGACTTGGGTCAGTATGCAAAGAGACAGGCGGACCAAGACAAGCCCTGAACCAACAGGTGGGTCACATTCTGTCTGTGGCCCTGAAACTCACAGAGAGGATGTGAGTGACCAGCGCTGCAGGCAACTCCCACTGCCCAGCTCACTCCCAGCCCAGGGCTGGGTTGCTGCTTGAAGAGCCTGTACATTGCATGTCCAAATACAGCAATGTGTCTTTTAGAGACTGACGGGACAGGTGGCCTGAGGGTTTCTGGCACACTTTGCTTTGGGTCTTGTTTCCTTTGACCAGATGTGCCATTTGGTTAGGAAAGTAGCCTGATTAAATTGATCATCGCATTTAAAACACACAGCGGGATAACAACATGGATGAGGTAAAGGCCTTATACCCAGGTGTGGGCAGTTTGGCCACCTGAGAGCCACATACCCTCACATACTTAGCAGGTGAGTCTTTCCTCGAGAAAGGCTCCTTAAAAAGAATGACTCCTACTTTAAGTCTGGTGAGAGCCTGCAGAGCTGCTAGTAGGAGACCCCAGTGTGCCTGGCAACTGGTACGTGGAGACCCCTGGGGTTGCCTGGTGAGCCCGGCTCTGGGCAGGCTGCATGAGAAATCCATGGGGCCCACTGTGCTCATCCTCTGTGGTGCCAAAGCTTGGGGCTGTTGCCACTCTGTCTCTGTAGTTAGATGTGGAAGTAGAATACTCGTGGAAGTGATTATCTGAATGACATGCCCTTTTTCTGTTTTTTCCCCCAAAGAAATTACTTCTGAAACTGAGGACTTGTGTGAAAAGCCTGATGATGAAGTGAAAGAAACAACTCAAGATCTAGATGTGAAAAGTCCCCCGGAGCCCAAGAGCGAGGTAATTCCAACCTTCTTGGAGGTATCATTTGTATTTTTTTTCGTTGGCTTCATGCCTGAATCTTCCTGGCATGACTCTTGTCTGTTCTGCAAATCATTCTGATGGTGTGAAGGATTCCCCTGTGAGCCTGGGTACGCTTCCTCTCTTCTGAGGATGGCTGCATTACTGAGCCCATGAAGTGGTCTATGCTCAGTACAGGGTGCACATCCCCCCAGCCATCCATAGGACTCCTCACTCATGCCCCACCTCCCACTCATATAGTTACGCATTAACTGTGTGGGTCACGTTAGATATTAAATAGCCACACGCTGGATGCTCTTTGAACCACAGGGAATGGAACACCTTCACCAGATGCTAGGCCCAGTTGGGGCAATGCAGTGTGGGTTGCAGTGTTCTGGGTGTCTTTGCACCCCTGGTTTCGGTATCTGGCCTCTTTTGAAGTTCTCATAGATGGTGGTTCCATTATTGAGCATCACGTAGGTTATTTAAGATGCAATGAGAACATCCAAATGCTAGTACTCTGTAAGTATATTTTGAAATAATAAGAATTGTAAAGTAAAAACTAATTAACAAGCCTTGTAGTGTGTTATCTGGTATTAGGCAGTTTATTCCAGGCTGTAAGTGTAAGGTTGGGAGATAAGTAACCTTTATGACACACCCAGTGTCTGAACATAAAGGGGCGTGTGTGTATGCATGTGAACATCAAGGAGCAAAGGTAGCAAGGAAGCAACCACAAACAGATCTGGCCCCTGATAAGAAAAAAAAAGGCGATCAACATGTGTGACTCAGTATAGAAAGCAACAAAGTAAGAGAAGATCAGCCTCTTGAGTGTCCCTGGTTCCCAAAAAGAAGAAGGACTTGGAAGCAAGTGGGAATGAATCAGGGAAGAATCATGTATCATAGACAAATTCTAATGACTCACCAGAAATCTGCTGACCTTGCAACCCATCAGTATACATTGGATTATACAGCCATGTTGCCCATGCCAGTGTCCACACTCAGCCCCTAAGCCAGATTTGTAAGAGTTGAAGGGAGCAGTGGTGGTTTAGTGGTAGAATTCTCATCGCCCAGGTTTGATTCCCAGACAGTACACCTCATGCACAGCAACCACCCATCTGTCAGTGGAGGCTGTGTATCGCTATGATGCTGAACTGGTTTTAGCCCAGCTTCCAGACTAGCATGGACTAGGAAGAAAGGCCTGGTGTGCTCTACTTCCAAAAATTAGCCAGTGAAAACCCTATGAATCACAACCATCTGATTCCCAACCGATCATGGGAAGGGTATAGGACTAGACAGAGCTCTGTTCCACTGTGCATGGGATCTCCATGAGTTGGGGTAGCCTGATGTCTTTGCAACTCTAAGCCTTGGTGTCCCCAGAGGTGTGTGTGTATGGTTACCAATGATTGAATTCTCTGCCTTGCTTACTGGCCAGTGATGGTGTTTTCTTCTTCCTCTGGCTCACTGTCTTTGTTTCCCATTTTTGCTGTAACAGAAATACTACAGAAATTTATTTTCTCACAGTTTAGGAGGCTAAGAGTCCAAATTCATGACACTGGCTCTAGGGGAAGGCTTGCTCTCTATTGGCTCTGGGGGAAGGCCCCTGTTTCTTCTTAGCTGCTGTTCCTCAGTTCCTCAGTGATCTTCCTGTGGTTTGGTATCTGTCCTCCCCCATCTGTGCTTCCTTGCTTGTCTCAAAAGTGATTGGTTTAAAATACTCCCTATACTGATAGGACAGATCTCATTAACAAAACAAATAAAACCCTATTCCCAAATGGGATTATGTCCACAAGTATTATTGCTGTTCGTTGCCATGGAGTGGATGCTAGCTTCTTAAGACCCCAAGTATGCAATGTAGTACTGTCTCTCAAGGCACCTCTGGGTGGGTTTGCACCACTAACCTTTTGGCTAGTAGTGGAGTCCTTAACTGTTTGTGATTCTGAAGAGAGACAATTCCCACAACACTCACCCTCCTGCCTCTAGTTCTCCATACTTTTCCGTATCTGTGTCCTGAGTGGGCAAGAGGTGGTGGTGTCTTCATGCGTTTCCCTCTCTCCATCCCTTGCAGGTGGTACCTGTGTCCACGCCCCTCAAGCGCGCCTCAGCCCCAACATTTGATAATGACTACAGCCTTTCGGAGCTGCTATCACAGCTGGACTCTGGAATTTCTCAGACCATCGAAGGCCCAGAAGAGCTCAGCCGCAGCTCCTCAGAATCCAAACTCCCCTCATCAAGCAGTGACAAAAGGCTTTCAGGGGTCTCTTCCGTTGATTCCGCCTTCTCATCCAGAGGGTCGCTGTCCTTGTCTTTCGAGCGTGAGCCTTCAACAGGCGGTGAGCAGAGAACACCTTTGTGTCCTGAGAACTAATGAGCTTACTCATGGGGTTAGAGGAGGGACAGGGGGTGTGGGAGTCAGTGACAACTAAAAAGAATTAGGTGTCCAAATTCTTGAACTGACCATAATGCTCTATCCCTTCAGTAATTGATATTGAGTGTCAGTGCATTGGTCAGTTCATTGAGCACAAATCTGGAGGTGGGCACTGGCTAAGCTGCCCTCTTGGATGGCAGAGAATAAGAGTAACAGACCAAGCCACTTGGCTGTACAGTAGGGTCTCACCAGATCAGGTGCAGAGTCTGGCCTCAGGTTTGTGGATTGAAGAATCTGATCTTGTGAGTCAGTCAGTGGATAAATGGAGCCCCTCACCTTACCATGGGATATTCCTCAGGTAGATGACACCCTCCACTCTCTTTTGTGGGCAATGCTGCCTAAATACTCTTATTCTTTCTTATTCCTAGGCTACCCATTCACTTACTTACTGTGCATTTTGATAGATTAGTTGTCCTCAGAGTTTAAAATACCCTGGTCACAGTTATGGCGGGATCCCCTTTGGTTAGCTGATCTTATCTTTTTATGTTAATTTGCATAGATTTTCTTTTTAAACAGTGCTTTTTTCCTGTCCCTGGCCCTTGGGGACAATGGTGGTTCAGTGGTACAATTTTCCCCTTCAGTGCAAGACTTGGGTTTATTTCCCAGCCAATTCACCTCATGAGCTGCAGTCACCACCTGTCTATCATTGAAGGCTTAGGTGTTGCTGTGCTGCTGAACAGGTTTCAGTGGCGCTTCCAGACTAAAACTGAAGAGGAAGAAAGACCTAGGGTTTTACTTCCAAAAACTCACCCAGTGAAAACCCTATGGATGACAACAGGTTCAATCCCACTGTGTATGGGGTTGCCATGATTGGGGGCCCACTCGATAGCCGCTAACAACAACTTCTACTCCTACAGTTAGGGTTGGTGAGTATTTTAGTTTCTTCTGTGCTAACTGTGGGGACAAGATGTGCTGCAGCCCCATTAGGAAAATACAGACACTCCGGCCATGATGTGTGGATGGGTGAGGGCCCAATGGTCTCCCACAGATTGGACTTCAGGAGGAGAGCAAGTTTGTTTGTCTTGGTAGATCAGGAAAACCTTGTAGAGTGGAGAACTTTTATCAGATCTCATGGGCTTGCTAGAATTTTGAAGTGGAATATTGGTGATAAAAGAGTACATTTTAGGTTAAGGAAACACATCAGTAAAAACAGAGGTGGGGAATGCTGGTTTGGATGGTTTAACTAGAGGTAGGTCTTGGACAGCGAGGCTGAAGAGGAATTTCAGAGGGCTAAATCAGAGAAACTGGAAAGAAATACCACTATTTCCACTGGAGAAAGATGTTCTAGAAAATTTTTTTGGATCTGAAACTTTTAATTGACGTCTTGTCTTCATCTTGAGAGAAGAGGGTATCACTGACTCAACTCAGAATGAGAGTGTTAGAACATCAGATCTAGATTGGGTTGTTTCCATTGCCTTAAGACCACCCATGTTCTACCTTTCTATTAGATCCTTTTGAGAATGTTTAAATGTGAGAAAGGGGAGTTTTCTTTTGTGCAACTCAGAATTCCAGACAATGTAATAGGATTTGTATGTTAAAGCAGAGCTCTTCCTATTCTGGGGCAATATTCCTCCCAGTCCTTTGAGAATTTTTCTAGAAAACATTCCTTATGGGTCACCAGGGCAGAGGTTGGGCTGTGAACTGAGTCATCCCAGTCCAGCTGCAGGCACCAGCTTTGCCTGTCAGTGAGCTCTGCAGGGGGTGGTGTGTGTGAAACTCTTGGAGCACTGGCCTCATCATGTTAGTCCCTGCCTTGTCTTTTTTTTTTTTAAAAAAATGAAGGAATATAACAATAACTCATTTCTAAACACCAATTGGGGGAGTTTTATATTTTTTATCTAAACATTACTCAAGGACAGGTAGAACAGTTTTTATTTTCAAATGCATTAAGTGACCTGCCCAAGGTGTCCTTGATAGGAACCCGGAGCAGTCAGGGCTCTCCAGAGCCAGTAGATCTTTTCTGTCTACCCAGCTAGTTACCTATTGATCATCCATCCATCTAGATGCATATATGTGTATATGTAAACACACATACACATATACATACCCAAACCAAACTCATGGCCCTTGAGTTGAATCCGACTCATAGCAACCCCTCTTAGGTTTCCAAGGCTGTAAATCTTTGTAGAAGGAGACTACCTCATCTTTCTTCCATGGAGTGGCTGGTGGGTTTAAACCACTGACCTTTGGGTTATCAGTCAAATGCCTTCACTGCTACACCACCAGAGCTCCTTACACGTATACATGAACACATACAAATACATACACACACACACACACACACACACACATGTACATAGGTCCTGGTTGAGGAAGTCTGAAATATTTTGGGCAGGTGAGAAACTTGTAGGAGTTTTACGTTACAGCTTTGAGACAGAATGTCTCCTTCTCTTGGAAACTTCAGGGTGTTTTATTTTTTCCTTTAAGGTCTTCAACTGGTTGCATCAAGGTCACCCACATTATCCAGGTTAAATTTTACTTAGATTCAGCTGATTGTTGATGTCTATCACATTTATAAAATACCTCTGCAGCAACACCTAAATCACTGTTTGAATAACTTGGAGCTATAGCCTAGCCAAGTTGACACACAAAACTAGTATAAGATCTGAGACTAAAAGTAAAAAGCCACCTGGAGGCCATGCATCTTTGGGTGTCCCTGCTCAACCTCTCTTAGAGGTTCTGTCCCATGAGAACAACAGAAAAGCTGAAGGTGAGACTGATGTATCACTGGCCACCCATCTTAGCTGACCCTGTGCCTCTCCTCTCCTTGCAGATCTTGGCACGACAGACATTCAGAAGAAGAAGCTGGTGGATGCCATCATATGTGGGGACACCAGCCGGCTGATGAAAATCCTGCAGCCCCAGGATGTAGACCTTGTCTTGGAGGGCAGTGCCAGCCTCTTGCACCTGGCCGTGGAGGCTGGCCAGGAGGAGTGTGTCAAGTGGCTTCTCCTCAACAATGCTAACCCCAACTTAACCAACCGGAAAGGCTCCACGCCTCTGCATCTGGCCGTCGAGCGGAGGGTGCGTGGTATTGTGGAGCTGCTACTGGCCCGCAAGATCAGCGTTAATGCCAAAGATGAGGACCAGTGGACGGCCCTGCACTTTGCTGCCCAGAACGGGGACGAAGCCAGCACACGTCTTCTGCTGGAAAAGAATGCCTCCGTTGATGAGGCAGACTGCGAGGGCCGCACACCTGTGCACGTGGCCTGCCAGCACGGCCAGGAGAGCATTGTGCGCATCCTGCTGCGCCGTGGAGTAGATGCTGGCCTGCAGGGCAAGGACGCCTGGGTCCCACTGCACTATGCTGCCTGGCAGGGCCACTTGTCTATTGTGAAACTGCTGGCCAAGCAGCCGGGAGTGAGCGTGAATGCCCAGACACTGGATGGGCGGACACCCCTGCACCTGGCTGCTCAGCGAGGGCACTACCGTGTGGCCCGCATCCTCATTGATCTCCACTCCAATGTCAACATCTGCAACCAGCTCTTGCAGACGCCCCTGCATGTAGCCGCTGAGACGGGCCACACAAGCACCTCAAGGTTGCTTCTGCACCGTGGTGCTGAGAAGGAGGGACTGACCTCAGAGGGCTGCACAGCCCTGCACCTGGCTGCCCGGAATGGACACCTGGCCACTGTGAAGCTGCTGGTGGAGGAGAAGGCTGACGTGCTGGCCCGTGGGCCACTGAGTCAGACGGCTCTCCACCTGGCTGCTGCCCAGGGACACTCAGAGGTAGTGGAGGAGCTGGTCAATGCTGACAGCATCAACTTATCTGATGACCGGGGCCTCAGCGCGTTGCACCTCGCTGCCCAGGGCAGGCATGCAAAGACGGTGGAGGTCCTCCTTAAGCATGGGGCCCACATCAATTTACAGAGCCTCAAGTTCCAGGGTGGCCAGCAGCTGGGTGGATCACCTGGCCACAGCCCTACATCCACACTCCTTCGAAGAAGTAAGACCTAGCCTGCCTCTGACAGAGTTCGGGCATCTGTGTGGGACTTTTGTCCCATAGTTTTGTTCTGCTGTGGGGACAGCACAATAGTGCACTGGTTGGCTGGTGTGCCTTGTCAGGGACTAGCTGAAACACTGGATAAGTGGTATTCTGGGAGAGAGCATTGGAGTGCAGTCAAGAGGGAGGTGACTGCACAGTGTCTCCATAATGTGCCAGGCATCTGCTTGGGTGTGCTACCCTCCAAATGAAGTTGACTAGATTGCGTTTGACTTGTTGACACATCTGCTCATCAACAGGCCCGTTGTTGGAAGGGATGATGGGTCAGAATCATTTCGTCGTGCTCCTGTTCCTAATGGGCCCCTGATGTTGGGTTTCAGTGACAAAGTCATGGGCAAGATTGAATGTGCTCTGTCACTGAGAGATGCCATCTCTGGTTACTTGAGGCACAGCAGTATTGGGGAGAAGAGGTGTAGGAGAAGCTATAAGCAAAGTCTGTTACCAGAAAATTTTAGTGGAATTCTTGTTTTATAAAATATCTTTAATAGATGAACATGATGTCATCTCTTGCTTTAAATCTGTTAAAGATTCATAACATTGGGTAGTATCATTTGTAAAGAACAAGTGTAAAGAAAAAGGTTGGTTATTTTAAAAATAAAACAGTAATCATACTTGCTCTTTTATTTTCAAATTTGTTTTGTCCTTCAAAATAGTCCTCTCGGTGGCCACATGCTTAAACCAAGTCTCCTTGCTATTCATTTCTCGTCATGTGAGATGTTTTTTGAACTCTAGAGCCAAATATGTAAATCTGCAAAAAGTCATTTAAAATTTGTTTACTTTATAACCTCAGTTTTGGACTGAAAACAGTATTAGATGAACCACCTCACTCATTCATTTTCTTTCCAGCTTTCGTTTCTGGTAAGGTAGTTAATCATCTTGAGTGATACTGTTTTGGGTTCACTGAGGGGTTTGCTGACCCACTTTGCAAATGACTATAGCCAATGAGCCTGGGCTGCTTTGGATGTGTACCCTGAGGTGGCTCCAGGACTCAGCTGTACTCATGGCTATGAAAGGTTCTGATTATCCAGTCTCATATATCTTGTTATATATGTCCCATATGGTGCCTTCTGAATGCTGTTAGAATGAGTTTGTTGCAGAACTTGACCCTGTATGCAAACCACGTCCTGTGGCCTAGTGTATGATACAGAGATTGATATTAATGTACCATGTATGTTAATGTGAGTCTATGGGCAGGATACTTCTTTTCTATGACAGGAAATATCCAGGCTGTTTAGAACTGGCTATGTTTTAATATGCCTCATTGTGCTTTTACTACGTGATGCTACTGTTATATAGATTGTGTGGAAGACAAAACAAGTTCTGTTTGATGTCAATAAAGTACAGTACTATTCTAAAGTCAATGAGTGTGCTTTTTTCTCTAAATAAGCTCACATAGTCTTATTTCTGAAGACCATAGGTTTGAGGCACTCATAGGCCTTCAGATGTGTGATACCCTGGGAGATATGCAATCTTGATAGAAAAATCTCTCGAGACCGAACTTTTTATTTCTTTGTAAGTGTTTACAATTTTTATTTTCATGTGTTAACTTTTTAATTTTGAAATAAATGCAGATTATTTCCAAACTAATAATTCCAGACTCCCTAGTTTACATGTTATCTTATTTGCCTGATCATTCTCTGTCCTTCCTCAGCTACGTTATACATCCATCATCTGTTCATCCCTCTGCCATCTATCTATCTATCCACTCTTCCTTCCTTACAAGAATAGGCCATAGACAATGTGCACCCATTACTCCTAAATACTTCAGTGTGTATGTATCTCCTAAAAACAAGGGATATCTAGGATAGCCACAGTATACACACCAAAATCAGGAAATTAATAGTGATGCAATACAATCTAATTAACAAATCCCATGACAATTTTGTTAATTTTTAAAAGTGATCTGTCAGTATAGACTCACAGGTTCCTATGTAATCAATAGGTTGAAATCTATTATCATTTTGATACTCAAATTGCCCCTGATTGTCCAGTTTGAGTTCTGCAGTGGCTTCTATGTGTTTCTGGTATGTCCCCATCCTCTCTGAGAGTTTACTTTCTGGCACAGTGACACATCCAAGGCTCATCTTGTACTTTCTCCACCTAGCCTTGCAAGCAGCCATTTCTCCAGGGAAACCTCATTTCCTTCCGTGGAGAATGGGGTTTAGAGAACAAGGTCTGGGTGTTCGATGTGCTCATTGTTACCAAGTGCCATGATTTCTAGGCCCTCTCAATGGTCAGATCTTGGAAATGTGTATATAACTTACACGTAAATACATCATACACATGGTCTGGTTTTTTTTTTTTTTTTTTTTATCATATTAAAAACCACGATTCCTGTCTCAATGCTCATGTTTTCTCCTCTCTATATCTGAGATTTGGGCCTTTTCCATTTCTTTACGGATCCCTATCCCATGTTTTTTTCATTCTGGAGCACCTTCTAGCCTAAGAATTGTATGAACATTTTTCTTTGACCTTCCACTTAGGAAAATCTGCTCCTTTCTGGGAGGAAACAAAAGGGAGTCAGAAGCTCCACGTGCTCTGTGGTTGCTCTGGGGCTGAGGGGCCCTTAGGACACTACCTGCCAGCCTCTCCAGGGCCCCCGCTATGAGCAAGGTCCGAGAGCCCAGGCCAGACTTTCTTCAGCACCTCTGGGATGTGGAGAGTCAGGTTCTAGAAGAGAAGTGGTTTTCTAGTGCATCTCTCCTGAAGTTCAGCCTCAGACAACCCCTCTCACTGCAGTGCTTGTAGTAGTCTGGGAAATAGCTCCATCAGGTAAGATGGTAGTAGCCAACACTCCCTTGTTACACCAGTTGCCATCGAGTAACAGATTCATGGTGACCTCTTGTGTGTTAGTACAACTGTGCTCCATAGAGTTTTCAATGGCTGATCTTTCAGAAGATCACTTGACCTTTTGAGGCACTTCTGGCTGGACTTGAACATTTGGGTTATCAGCAGAGCACATTAATCATTTGTACCACCCAAACCAAAAGCTAAACCTGTTGCCATCAAGTCAATTATAACTCATGGTGACTCCATGTGTGCAGGCTGATTTTTCAGAAATAGGTCACCAGGCTTTTCTTTCGTGGGGCCTCTGGGTGTACTAGAACCTCTAACCTTTCAGGTAGCAGCTGAACATGTTAACTGTTTGCACCACCCTGGGACTCCACTCCCTTGTTACTGACCTGGAAATCTAGGTTGGGACTGCCCAGGAAAAAGGGAGCTATCAAAGGACTTGAACTCAGTATCAGACTCGGTCCTGTTTATTCATACCCTCCACACTTCTGTTGTGCATTCTCTTCTCAGACCAATCAGTTGCTAGACTCATTTCACTGGACTTGGGTAAATAGTGCTTTCATCCTCAGCACACAAACCTATGCTCTTGGCAAGCAGACAGATTGCACATCTCACCTCTGACTGGCTTGTCTGTCTGACCCACTGTTTCACCACTGTGTCATACAGATCTTAGGAAATGTCGAGCCCTAATGCAGGGTCCATCTGAAGTCCCACAGGCAGTGGGGCAGCAGCAGGCAGCAGCTGTCAGTCTCTTATTGCTCTCAGGTGAAGATGGACAGCACGTGTACCTGGGTACTTTTGGACTGGCTTAGCAAACAATTGGTTTACCACTTGATAGTTCACTTCCCAGAGCTGATTAGCAAAGAATTTATAATCTTCTTCCAGGCAATTGACCCTGATCCCACATTCTAGGGGCCTTTGTTAGCCAGGAGACATTTCACAGTGCCAAGCATTAGCTACTTTTTTCAAAAGAGTGGGTGGAGCATGCAATGTTATTAATGCCTCCTGTTTACATATCAGCCAAGAGGGAGCTGGCATTTTGCAGAAGATGACATTCAGAAGAGTGAGAATCCCTGGCCCTAAGCTTAGACTAGGTGGTCAGGTTCTGGAAAACTTAAGACCAACTTCCTCCATCCCAGGCCCCATTCCTCCCTCCCTCCCTTCTTCCTTTTTCTTTCCTTTCTCCCTCCCTCTCTTCTTTTCCTCCTCCCTCTCCCGCCTTCCCTTCTTCCTTCTCTCTCTCTTCCCCACGTCCTTCTTTCCACCCTCCTTTCTGATAATTAATTGTCAGACAATGTCAGGCACTGCTGCACATGTGGCCTGTGTTCAGGAGGACTGTTGACATGATGACTGTTAAGCAAGGACAGGTGCAGGCAGGCAGTCCACTCTATGCAGTGCTGCTGGTCACCGCTTTAAGTCCCATTGGCAAAGAAAACTACTGCCTCATGAATATTCGTGTCAGGAAGGGCTGAATTCAGGTGTTTGGTGTCTTCTTTCCTTGATTTGGCTTCACTAATGACTCTGTCATCTCCAAGCTTAGGTAACCTCTGCTCAAGGATCCCAGTAGAAAGAAATCTTTCCCCTAATAGATTTCCCCTCTCCAAACCTAACAGTAACCGCAAGTCATAGATTCTTAGACATTCTTTTTTCCCTCACATTTTAACAACTCTGAAATTGAAATGTGCTTAACAGTGATGGCTTCCTACAATTAAAATTGATAGTATTTTTTTATTTTTTGGCACCTTAGACATACTTAAGGAGTCCCTGGGTGGTACAAACAGTTAATGTGCTTAGCGGCTAATCAAAAGGTTGGAAGTTCCAGTCCACTCAGAAGCACCTTGGAATTAAGGCCTGATGATCTACTTCTGAAAATCAACCAGCGAAAATCCAATGGAGCACAATGGTCTGATTTGCAGCAGCCCATGAGAGTGGGGCAACATTTTGTTCCATTGCACATGGGGTTGCCATGAGTCAGGAGCCCGCTCAGGGGCAGCTAATAACAAGGGTCTCTGGATGGGAGTAGATGATTAATGTCCTCAGCTGCTAACTGAAAGTTTGGAGGTTCGAGTTTACCCAGACGTATCTTGGAAGAAAGGCTTGGCAATCAATCTACTTCTGAAAAAGTAGCCATTACAAACCCCTATGGAGCACAGTTTTACAA